GAATCTCATGATTATATGATGGCATGTTTTCAGTTTTATATTTTCAGTATTATTTGTTTTTTTGTACTCATGCTTTTTTTTCTGCTCTCATATAGTTAGTAGTAGTCATGTAATAGTTGACATCACTATTTTAAAATAGAGCAAGGGATGAGTGGAAGAGCATACAGGTCGTGAACTCCCCCTTGAGATTCGAGAGCAATTATTTCCTTTCGTTGAACACTATTTTTGTATGCATTGTCTCTTCGAATAAAGCCATTTATTATTATTCTTATTAATAATCGGATGAACATACGTAGGTGTTTAGCTTTTTTTGTCACTCAGTGTATATAATATTAAGGTCAATGCTGGAAAATACCAGTGTTTTACATCTATGGACAGTCGCGGCAAAGCAAAGAAACCTTGTATTACATTGTTGAAGTGGATATCTTTGCTTTCTGTCTTTGTCACTATGATCAACCGTAGGCAGCGATGTTTCTAACTTTCTAGCAACTAATCAGTCAGGTATAGGTGTAATCTTAGAGACAGGCGGGAAGCGAACAGATGGGTATGACCTTTAGAAAAACTCAAAATATCTTACGTAAGTAGGTGAGAAATCTGATAATCTGTATTTTGTCAGTTACTAAATTAAAAATACGCTTGATAATATTGATTGTAAAACATAACAATAATTACTGGTGACTCCCTTGGGCCTGATTTGCCGAGCAATGTTTGATATATGAAATAGTCAAAGTTCTTTATCTATATTTAGCTGCGATCTATATTTGGTCGTCAAATCAGCCACCGCCGAAAATCCTGTTTCGCATAGGTATACTAAGTGACATATAAATCCGAACACCCAGCTTAAATGGTTTTATTTTAATCAAATTTTTTATAAGTACTTAATGAAGCATAATAAGTAAATGATAAAAATTTCAAAATGATTGCACGGCTTTAAAGCCCTTTGACCTTTAATAATGTGTGGATGCACCCTGATGTGCTACGCATTCTCGAACGCGCCTAGGCATGCTTTTGATCAGGTGGTCAATGTCCTCCTGTGGTATCTCATTCCAGGCAACCACCAACTCCTCTCGAAGTGCTTCTAGAGTCTGAGGAGGACGTTGCAAATTGAGCAATCTCCTACCCATCATATCCCACACGTGCTCAATTGGGGATAAGTCGGGAGATCTTGGTGGCCATGGTAACAATGTGACATCATTATGTTGAAAGAAGTCTATTGTGACTCTTGCAACATGTGGTCGGGCATTATCTTGTTGGAAAGTTGGATCTGCCAGGGTGTCAAGATAGGGTAAAAGATGGGGTTCTAGAACTTCGTGGATATAACGCTGCGCGTTCATGTTACCTCTGATCAAGATTAAAGGTGACCTGGAACCATAAGCTATAGCACCCCAAACCATAACTCCAACAGAGTGATGAACATGTCTTTCAACAAAAAACTGTGGATTCCTCCTTTCACCACGTCGCCTTCTAACCCTGGCACGACCATCGTGCATGCCTAAACAAAATCGAGACTCGTCACTAAAAACAATACTGTTCCATTCCTGATCCCAGAGTGACCGTTGTCTGCACCACTCAAGGCGATTACGTCGGTGTTCTCGAGTTAAAGGGAGGACCCAGTGTGGCCGGTATGAAAACAAGCCAAAACTTCTCATTCGTCGGTAAACACTTCGCATGCCAATAGGTCTTCCGTGTTCTGCAAACCATTCATTTGCAATGGACCTGGTAGTGGAGAAACGGTTCCTTAAGGCTAATAATCTTAGGCGGCGATCTTCACGGTCTGTTGTTCTACGGCGGCGTCCAGTGCCCCTTGCTCTTTGCGTATGGCCTTCTCGAAGCCATGCCTGACAACACCTAACCACAGTGTCTACACTTCTTTGCACTCTAACTGCAATTGCCCGAAAAAATAGTCCAGCTTCCCGAAGTCCCACTATACGGCCCCTATCAAACTCACTAAGTTGACGAAATCGTACAGGTCTCCGTACTCTAGGCATCGTAACCGATCGTAAAGGATGTCAAGAACCAAAATTCGCCAACGTTGATTCTTTACTGCGGCTGAAATATTCATTTTTAGAGTGTTAGTGAATTAAAAAAAAAGCAGTATAAAAACCGGAATGTCCAATTGATAAGGCTGAAAATTTTTTCACTTGTTATTTATAGTAAGATAAATACATTCACCAACTTTTATTAAAATAAAACCATTTAATCTGGGTGTTCGGATCTATATGTCACTTAGTATATAATGCTAAAAATGGTAGTAGTATAGGAAGCGCTCTGGTTTTCAGTGTCGAAGACGCATCGTTCGCGCCTGCCCAAAATTCAAAGAGGGATTTATTATTAAACTGTTTTTGGATATCGGCGTTTGCCGTCAAGTCTACGAAGACTTCTTCTTCGGCAGTTGAGAGCCCTTCGGGAATAATTTGAAACGAATTCCTAACCGACTCGTAACTAAGTATTGATTTGTCGTCGGAAAGAAAATATTTTTTTAAATTCTCTGTCAGCATCGTTAAATGATTTTCAATGGTTATCAAAACAACTTTCATGTGTTGTTCTTCAATCTCGTAGGTTTTATTAGATTCATTCACGTTTGCAAGCATTTCCAGGTTTTTTTGCTTCAAATTTCTGCTTCTAGAAAAACGGTGATTTCATATCTTAATTCAAACAGACGTTGTAAACAGTTCCCACGTGATACCTGTCTTGCCTCGCGATAGAATAGTAATGCTGAATGTACTGCACCCATATCTTTACAAAGTGCAGAAAATATTCTAGTTTTCAACGGTCTCATATTTAGGTATGTAATTAACTACTGTTACAACCGTAATTAGCACAATATTCAGGCCAGGAGACATTTCTTTGGAAGCCAGAACTTCTCAATGAATCATGCAATATGTCAGATGCAGATTTTTGTTTTACAAGGGCTTGTATACTTTCAAATCTTCCGGACATTGAACGAGCCCTTCGGTGCATATTCCTACGCAATTCTTCCACTCTATGTTTGCCTCGATTATATAAACATTTAAGATTAGCAAATAATGCGAAAGCTGTTGCTTTAAGTTCTATAAGTTTGCACAAAAGTAGGTCTTCTACGTCTGATATGCCATCACAAAATCGAACGTAGGCAATAAGATGATCAACTTCATTGCCGTCCATTGCCTCATCAAACTGATTGAAAGCAACAGGTCGCGCGCCTTCCCGAGTAGCTATGTCACCAATTCGACGGGCAACCATATCATTTGATAGCGGTATGGACTCCAATTTTTTGGCAAAATTATCTCCAGACACAGTTTCTATAATTTTAATTGCAGCTCTCAAAATAAGCTCGTCAACAATAGCTTGAGGCTTCTTACATCTGGCTATTTCATCTGAAACTTTATAAAAGGCAAGTAAAGGTTTTTCATTCACAGTCAAAGTTTTTTTATAAGATTTTTGCTTTTCGTATGATTTTAATTTCAACTCGAAGAATTCTCGGGGTTTGTTAACGTACTTACTATGAAGCGTTTCCAAATGTCATTTATGTTTATTAGGTTTCACGCTATCTGCTGCTAAAGCTTTAAAGCAAATGATACACAGAGGCCTCTCGCATTCATTGACTTCAACACATCTGGGCCCAAAATTTAAGTACTCTTGAGAATATTTTCTTGCTCTTGTTGATGCTTCACTAGTATCGAAAGCTCGCTTACGTCCACTCAAAAATTTATCCATGATTTGGTAGAAATTGAAATTACTGCTGAGGATTTAAAGGGTGACTTCGAAGTTGAGTCATTTATTTTAACAGTGAGTAGATCTGATCAAAAGAAATGTTTTTTTCCTTTAACATTTTTGTGGTAAAATTAAAGTAACAAAGTTATAGCCCTTTAGAACTTTGAGTACCGCCTTGTCTCGAAAATAATATTATCGGTTCATCGCATCGGAAACAAAAAAGCGGAAGAATTTGAAACGCTTATCACGATGTGTTTACTACAATTTTATTCAGTTGTATTCAGTCAATGTGTCAGTCGGTAACGCGTGAGTGAATAGTGGTGTTTGTTGGGTGACTCAAACGAAATAAAAAATGGCACATGTTTACGAAAATGCTGAACTTGTGGACATGATTCTTATTTACGGGGTCCTTTACAAAATGCTGCCTCGGCATCACGGATTTATGCGGATCGGTTTCCCAATCGAGTGCAACCAATCCCTCGTGCCTTTGTTATGTAGTATAAAGGGCTCGTGAATCAGGTGACTTAAGACCTCACAGGGGAGGGCATGCCGGTGCTCCAAGACCGCATGATCAAATACAGGTCAGCACTGAAATACTTGTCGGGATGATACTTTATAAAACAAGGTAAATTTTTTTTTTATTTTTTTTTATTTTTACACACATATTTTGGTTTATCTTCCTTCTACAATCATTATCTGAAAATTAATGACTCAACTTCAAAGTCACCCTGTATAAACATATATTTTAATACCGTGAACTGTAATTAACACGCAAATTACAACATACGCATTCACAGTAGCATTAGCACAGACAGAACGACTGCCTCGACTGAGACTGACCAAAATTCACGAGATGCGGCGTGTATTCACGAAATGCGGCGTGTATACACGTTCGCGCAGACGGTCGAGGATGTTCGGAATAACTCGGAACTTCTCGCGACGAGAGGCATTGATTCCGGATTTGCCAATGCAGCAGATCGGCGTTGCAAAATACCTATAAATTTACTTATTCTCGGCATGTTGTAGGGTTTTGTTAAGGTAGATTATTGTTATTGTGTAAGGGGCGGGGCGGATGGTGAAAGATTGAGAAACGCTGCATCAAAAAATTATGACCACAGGAATTTATTCTGGCAGAAAAGTATTTTTTCTACCAGCGTGCGCCAATCTTCCGCACGCTACTTTCTGCACGCTGATACGTGTTGAAAAACACTACTTTCTGCACGCTGGTAGGAAAAATCTGATACCTTACACTTCCGCATTTGTTAGGTAAATAACTATTAGAGATTGCATGACATTTTTTATTGCAGATCTCTGAATGGGCAACCTACAAGATTTCAGCCATGCGCTGACGCACTGGTCGTTTGGTATCACTATTTTGGTGGGCCTAGTAGCATCTGAATTCACAGGAGCTGAAGCAATTTTGGCCATTTTTGTAGCAGCTGCTGCATCAACGCTGTCAGGTATTGCCTCATATAAAGAAAGTAGTTCGCGCCTTTCACGTCCTTCGTCACTGGGCGAGGAAGTATTGTAATTTCGAAAATGATATATTATGCGTTTTGATGTTATATGTACAAATATGACATTTACATCACGAACAACCATGTCATTTATTTATGTCTGCATATCGTCAGTTTGTCTGTTTAGACCGTATAACTTCGGAGGTACTGCTCGAATTTGGATCAAATTTTCATACCAGGTTACTACTATTCCAAGGTTAAAAAGCGTAAAAGTGCATGGAAATCGATCCTATGTCGTTAGAGCTACATGCACAAAACGAAAAGGAAAATCACTTTGACATGAATACTTTCAGAAAAATTTTTATTAGGGGTTTAAAATTTTTTTGTAGTTGATGTAGAGGGTGAGGTATAGTAGGCCAGTTTCTTGGGCCATACTACTTGAGGCCATTTTTGTTTGTTTATTCAAGCTTGTCTAATGCATTTGTAAAGGCATCGAAAATGAAAATCAAGCTTATTTCTCGCTATCCTTATCGTTAGACTGTAGTGTTCTATTTAAAATAGAGTCAAGGCAGTATGCCGCAACGCTGCGTAGAAATTTAATAGCTAGAATGGTAAAAAGGAAATAATGGAAAAATAGTATATTCATATTTTTTTACCATGTTCAGATTTGTTAGACTTGTTGACTTTTTTGTTATGGGTCATTATTTTTTTATTTGCAATATTGATAATTCATTACTTAATTCAATCGAGTTTATTTATATAAATCAAGTTTTGGCTAAATGATAACGAAAAAACAAACATTTGTCGTACTTATTTACGAAATTATGACCAAGACAAACTTGGAACTTGAAACTTGTCATGGTAATTGTTTTTCCCTGAATCTAAGCCTAATGTCAGTTTGTCCGTATCAGATCATTTGAAGGGCGTTTCGAGGTCATTTCAATATCAAATTGGAGAGATGTTAGCAAAGTCCGATGTACATTTTTGGAGTCGATGGGTCCTAATCTGAGGTCAGTTTTTCCATATCAACTGATTTAAAGGGCATTCATAGATCATTCGAAGGTAATTTCAAAACACCTAATAAGATTCTTGTAAAATAAAAGTGATGGGGAAGCTTTTCACACCACTTTGTGAGGTTAGCAGATGATTTATATAGCAGGCCTGTGCCTTCTATTGATAAGTTACAAAGCTAGTCTGGAAACACTTTAATATACTTTTCTAACTTGATAAAAGTAACTCCCGGGAACATTTTGAAAATGAGTTGTTTCTAGACCTACCTTGATATAAAGTTTTCTTCTTAAAAAAGAAATTACCCGAACACAAACTTCATAGACATTATATACGTTGGACAGGGACAGGGTTTTAACTGACAAAAGTCCGGATTACAAACCGGTGGTATGCTTTGTAAAAACACGACACTTATGGTTTGTATACCTACTCAAACTCTCTAATCACCTGTTGTGCTAAAACACCTAAAAATCATCTACTAGAGACAGCATATACGTATATCTCAAAACGGACAACAAATTAGCACTCAATAAATAGTTTTCCATTTATTCTGCCCTATCCAATGGTTGTCCAATAAGGACGCAGGAAAGTAAACGTCAATTTGACATAGACGCCATCTTTGTTTTCTGTCACCGGCATGTCATTTTGTTAGTTGAATGTTTACCATTGATCGCTATGGAGTCGTATTCGATTGAAGACCGCATTAAAGTTATTCAAGAGCACTACAAAAATGGTGCAAAAATAAAAAACACGTTTCGCACGCTTCGTGAACATTTCGGTCGCAACAACCGCCCAACGCCCAAACGAAGCAACCATCGGTCGTCTGGTGCGTAAATTCGAGGCAACAGGTTCTGTGGCAAATCTGCCAGGCTCTTGCCGGCCAAGGAGCGTTCGCACACCGGAAAATATTGCTGTTGTGAAGGAGAGTGTGAGAGACGATCGGAAACAATCAATAACGCGTCGGTCCCAAGAATTGGGCATTTCGAGAACCAGTTTGCTCCGCATTCTCCACAAGGATTTGAATGTACACGCCTACAAGATCCAATTTTTCGCGCCGAACGTTCTCAGATTGGCTCCTTGAACACCGCCAAACTGATGCCAATTTTTCATCAACAATCATGTTCAGCGACGAAGCGCATTTCACTTTGAATCGAACGAAAATCCCCGTGAGTATCAAGAGCAGCCGATGCATCCTCAAAAAGTGACTGTGTGGTGTGCATTGTGGTCAAAAGGCATCATCGGACCTTGCTTTTTCGAAAATGCGGCCGGGGACGCCGTTACCGTCAATTCTGAGCGATATCACGTGATGATAGAGGACTATTTTTTGCCGCAACTTGAAGGAATGGATATGGACGATGTTTATTTCCAACAAGACGGTGCAACATGCCACACAACCAACGTCAATATCCATCGATTGCAGTCCTTCTTCGGTGATCGCGTGATTTCGCGCAGAGGAAATGTGCCATGGCCATCAAGATCGTGCGATTTGACTCCCTTGGACTTCTTTTTATGGGGATATTTGAAAAGTAAAGTCTACGTCAACAGACCAGCCACCCTCCAAGAACTCAAAAACAACATCATTGCCGAGATAAATGCCATAGAACCGACCATGTTGCAAAATGTCATTGAAAATTTCGACCATCGCGTGGACGTCTGTAAATCCAGTCGTGGTGAACATTTGAGCGATATTATTTTTCATACATAAATTTTTAAATGAACCTTCAAAACAAAGTACCCAACTTGATTTGAATATCAATCTTTCTTGTTTTAATATGCGCTTACTTTCCGGCGTCCGTTTTGAACAACTCCAGCTATTGGTCTGGATACCAGAATGCCGATGCTAAAAAATCTTCTTATTGGTTTGTTGTCCAATCCAGGCTTAGATGTTAATAAAACGCTGCGCGATGTCCTAATGAACATTATGGATGTTGAACCCTTAGATATTCAGCTAACGACTTGGCTGCTAGAGTAGCTTAGTCCCAAATGCCACATTAGAGCTCAGTACTCATTACTCTGCTGGGTAAATTGTTCTCTGTGCGCTCTCGACTCTCTAGTGTACTATTTCCCCTAAAATAGGTTTATTTCAGTCGTAGTTCACATCGCGTCTAAACTATCCGCTCTTTGCTTTATTTATGCATTCGAACGACGGCGTAATTGGTATAATTAAAGACAAAGTAGAACTAGAAAGGTGGGAGTAAGGGTTCGATAAACATCGTTCGACTCGGAATACTAGAGATGCCAGGTAGCAGCAGTGACCAGAAGAATGATAAACAAATTTATGGATGCCAGAGACATCAAGTTGATTTGCAGCGTATGACTATTCATAATTTAGAAAATAACTAGCTGGTCTAATAGCCATATTATGTTATATAGCCGAACTAACATAGGGTAGAGTTGCCGAATCGTGATTTGGAATTTAGTTCTTAACACTTCAGTGTGCTTCTATCATGCCATCCTCCTGACAAGAGTGACACCGAGATACTCAAGAGAACTTTCCCACGGACCGTTCTGTTTTATAGTTGTCATTTCATAAGTGTTTTAGCGTTTGCTTGTAAACATAACCTCACTAGTGCTATTCTATACGTTGTCTTCCCCATTGCAAACATTGTATACGTTTACACTTTGGACGAGTTGTATACATTGTCTTGAAGACCAAAGTGAATATGATAATCCATAAGTGAATATGAATGAGAATTACATGCTGATATTGCAAGCATTGTGAATCATCCCAAGCTTGCAATCTATCAATTTGAATAGCGTGACTTTCCCAGAGTATGATTAATTTGCCACCCAAAACCAGCGCATAATAAAGAATTTGTTGAGCGACATCAAACCAGGCGCCACAACATTTTGTGATCGCTCTCAAATTGCGAAAGGGGTGGATGGTGCATTTTTTGTTCAAGGAATAGAAATTATAGCATCTTATAAGATCTCTGATCCGTGTAACCTTTTTACTACAGAAACTATGGAAATAGCTGAATCTCTTCAATGGAGCATTGCTAATGACATCAACGAGTTGCTGTCCTTTTGGATTCGAAGTCTGTATTGCAATCACTGGATAATATACACTCCAATCCGTCTAACCAATACTTAATATACAGGTTGGCGCATCGAATACGCAACAAACGCATTTGCTGGCAGCTCAGTTTTTTTTTTTTGGAAAAACGCTCAGACCCGTCGATTTTGTTTTCGAGGGGGACACAGGTTTGGCAAAAAATCACGTTAACACGTGCAGCCCCCTGGGCGGGGGTGACACCAACCCTAAAATCTTAAATAGAAAGGCGGGTCGAGTGCTTATTTTGAAGGTCTTTCAATTCCCTTTATAATGATATAAAATTATACGTACTTCAGTTCAGTAGTTTGGAGATTTATTGATTTCAAGCTTAAATCAAACTAATACATCATCATTAGTGGAGATCAATACATTTGGCAGCAAAGTAATTTAAAAATGAAGAACGAACTGACCCGTTAGGCAAGTAAGTGTTGAAAATGGCCACCATGACTCTCCATGCAATAATGAAGATTTTGCTCAAAACGTTGCCTCACATTTTGCAATAGTATTTGAGGAGTGATTTGAAGCCACTCATTCACAATTCTTTGTCGCAGGTCTTGATGTGTTGGCTGAGTAGCATAGATTTTGCTTTTTAAATGACCCCACATAAAGAAATCCAAAGGTCATAAATCTGTCGATCTTTGGGGCCATTCAATGGCACCTCTTCTACCAATCCATCGATCTGGAAACATCTGATCTAAATATTGTCGAATTGTTGAAACATCAACATCAACATCAACCTATTCGCAATGTACCGCCGATCATTCTGATTTTCAATTATGGCTGTTCATGCAAGATCTATGACGTCTTCCAGTAATTCCAAATACATTTCACCGGTCAAATTTCCAAGTAAGAAAAAAGGACCAACTAAATGATCGCCAAAAATACCAGTCCAAACATTTAATTTTTGTGGCTGCTGTGTATGAACCTCATGATAAACTCTGGGATTAGAATCGAACCAATATCGGCAGTTATGACGATTTACTACGCCATTTAAGAAAAAGGAACATTCGTCGGAAAAGCAAGTGTTGAATAGAAAATGTTCATCGTTTATAATTCGTTCACTCATATCTTCACAAAATTGTAATGGCCGATCAAAAACATGTTCATTAAGTTCTTGTACCAGGTGAATTTTATACGGATGAAAACTATGGGCCTTTAGAATCCGTTGGACAGTACGTCGACTAACACCTCACACAGTCTCCAATTTGCGGGTACTTAACGTAGGATCCACATAAACTTGCCCTAAAACCCCCACTTCTATTGCTTCGTTCCTTATGGGATTTTCAATGTTGCGTTTTTTATTGGCGACTGACCGAGTTCCCGAAATTTAGCTACAAGTTCTAGAACATATTTTCGATGGACGTTACTGTTCTCATGTCGCTCATTAAATATTTCTGCTGTTCTGATTATTTCCGAAAAGTATTTCGATATGTAATAAAGCGTTACAAGTTATTTTAGCAACAAAGTTTGGTCAAATCAATCGCAAACTATGTACTAAATTCCTATTTAAAATAAGCACGAGATATTTCCTTATCTTTCTTCAAGAAATAACTTTTTTGACACAAAAAAACGCTCCAATTGCTATTTTCAACAACAAAATGATAAACAAACTATGGGCGTAGTGAAGAAAAGCATTTACTTATTAAGTAAATTCTTTTAGTCAAATTTCTTCTGAAAGTAGTACAAACTAATTTGATGTACCTACTAAAGTCTACTTTAAGCTTTATATCAATAAATCTTCAAAACTACTGAACTGAAGTTCATGTATTTTACATCTTTATAAAGGAAATTGAAAGACCTTTCAAATAAGGTATCACTCGACCCCCCTTTTCATTTAAGATTTTAGGGTTGTGTCACCCCCGCCCAGGGGGCTGCACGTGTTTTTTGCCTCGAAAACAAAATGGACGGGTCTGAGCGTTTTTCCAAAAAAAAACTGAGCTGCCAGTAAATGCGTCTGTTTCGTTTTCGATGCGCCACCCTGTATAAAGTGAGATCACTTATATACAACTTAACCAAAAGAGGTTTGATGTATTCCTTGTTTGGGTGATATTAGGAAGCAAAAGGGCAGATCAGGCAGCCAAGCAAGCTGTCCACTTACAGACCATGCATCAGTTATATGTATAACTAAACTGATGGCAGATTGGGAGAAACTGTCGTCTGGAAGTCAAAGTAATACATCTAGCCATTATTATAGGACTTTTCTGATCACATGCCCAGATTAGGTTTGAAAGAATATTCTGATTCAAACCATATATATTTTGGATGCGTCGAGCATAAATACTACTCAGACATCATGATTAAAGAACTTCTTGAAATGGGTTCACAATTGCCAAGAAACATTTCCTCCGTATTGATCTTAGAGGAAAAAACGGATTTATAAAAAATTGCAGGCATAGAAATTTAGAATACACATTTCTATGCATAACTTGTGACAAATGAAGTAATGTTTCCATACCAGAACCTCCTCAGAAAAAAATAAGTATTACATTCTATCACTCCTTTACATATTTCATTAACGATTGGACAATAGTAATAATAATAATAATAACAAGTTTATTTCTAACAGGCAGATACACCCAATTGTAGGAAATATAAATAAATATCAAAAAAAGCCAGTAAACAGCTACACAGATAAGAATAACAATATAATATACTACCCTAAAACTTCATCAAGGTAAAGTTCGATGACGCTAGATTTCATGTCAATAAATGTGTCATAGTTACTAATATATGTAGTATAAATAGTGTACACATCCTATGAACTGGAGATTTCGACAAAATATTGGTGTGACAGAGATCACAGTAAAATGTAGCACAATAACAGTTACCTAAGCGAGGAACATTAAAGCCCATGTTACTTTATACTTCACAATAAATCTTATTGTGGAGTAAACTGAACAGAAAAGACGCAGGCGGTACGATTTCGACGTACTTCAAGCCGTTTGAGATCTAAAGTTTTAAGCAATACATTATGGTTGAAGCCTCTTTGTGGATAGAAACCATGGCATTTGAAACAAATATATTTTACTGCTCTTCGTTGAATAGATACCAATCCAATAGAGTTTTAATAAATAGGTAGGTGCCCAGACAAGCCACGTATGACGTATTTTAGATATAAAAGATTTAACAAGACAGTACCCCAGCATTCGGGAAGCAGAAGATGTAATGTTATTTGTTTGATTACACTGGTCAACAAAATTTTAACTTTGTCGTGCCACACGGACTTTTTTGATATTTTTTACTCTAATTGGTGATTGTAAGAAAAAATTAAACATTAAAAAAAAATTGCTAGACAAGGATTTTATTCTATTGAGTAATTTAAAATATTAAGAAAAAACACAGATCTCGTAAATCAAAAGTTATTTTTTTTTTATAAATAACTTAATAATCTAAGATTTTCTTGAATATTTAGCTTCTGGTTGGTCCCTTTTAATTGTCCAGCAGTAATCTGCTAACATATTTGGGCTCCATTTGCCCTGGTACCGCTTTTCCATATTAGAAATGTCCTGATGGAACCTCTCACCGTGCTCGTCGCTGACAGCGCCTAAATTGACAGGAAAAAATCCAGGTGCGAGTCTAAAAAATGGATCTTAAGTGACATGTTGCAACCCAATGCTTGATATGACAATAATAGCTCGCTAACCAACTCTCTGTAGCTGTCACTCTTGTGGTTACCCAAAAAATTTGAAACATTCCATGCAGATGTTTCTAAATCGCTTAATTTTTCTTCAAATCTTGAATCTTTTATTAACTCCCTAATTTGAGGGCCAACAAAAATGCCCTGTTTTATCTTTGTATCACGTATTTTAGGGAATTTTTCTTTTAGATACAAAAATCCACTCCCATTGCGATCCATTGCCTTCACAAAATTTTTTATTAATCCTAATTTGATATGCAATGGTGGTAGAAGCACATTATTTGGCTGTACAAGGGGTAAATACTTTACGTTTTTTTGCCCAGGAACTAACGATGCACGCGTAGGCCATGTTTTTTTTATATAGTGATTAGTTCTGTCTCGGCTATCCCATTCACATAAAAAGCAGCAAAACTTTGTATAACCCAGCTGAAGTCCAAGTAATAGTGCAACAACTTTAAGATCACCGCAGATTTTGAAGGAATATGTACTGTAATTTATTTTTTCAAGTAAAAGTTTCATATTTTCATAGGTTTCTTTCATATTTGCAGCATGGGCCAGAGGTACAGACGGAAGCTTATTTCCATTTTGCAATAACACTGCTTTTAGACTTGCTTTCGAAGAATCAATGAATAAACGCCACTGAGAGAGATCAAAATCTTTGTCCAACATTTTCATAATCTCATTTATGTTATTGCAAAACATCAAATCTCCATCCTGAGAAAAATACGTTCTGAAGTGTTGATCACGGTTTCGAAAATAGCTAACTTTTGTGTTATGATGTAGCAAATTTCATTCTTTTAGACGTGATCCTAATAGTTCTGACTGCTTTTTTGACAAAATCCCGAACCAAATCATTTAGGTCTCCTTGAGTTATCAAATGTGGCTCGTTTACAATTCCTTTTAACTCAAAGTCATCGTCCTCGTCAACACATTCACCTGAAGTGGACGGTTGTGAATTGTTCTCAACAGACGTAGTTGCAACTGGTATTAGTTCTGGCAATTTTTTACAATGAGAGACTGGTCTTATAGCCGAAGATACGTTAGGGTAAATAACTGTGGTTTTTTTCTTGTAATTTATACCTTTTATGTCTGTGGGACAAAAATAGCAATCTGAAACGTGATCTTGCTGTTCAGTCCATGTCATGGGTACAGCAAACGGCATAGGTCGTTCACCTTTCTTCCAGTCAGTTACATTTTTCACACACGTTATGCAACAGACATGAGGGGCCCAGGATTTGTCTTGATGGGCGACAGAAAAACCAAAACATTGGTGATAACACTCCAACACAAGATTCGTAAAATTTCGTCGTTGTTTTTTGAATGTTAGTTCTCCGCAGACATAACAAAAAGTGTTAGGATCATTATTACACTACCTCGACATATTCACAGGGTTAATAAATCACAAAAAAGTGTTCAAATTCAACAACAAATATTTTTATAAAGATTTACTTGTAAGTGTTTCTGTTAATTTACTGCCGTAGTACTAGTTATGAGTATTACCGTATCACAACAAATATGAGGCTAATAGACATATGACAGCTGTCATGTAATAATGAGGGTGGACTGATAAAAAATTAGCTGTCAAAGTTCGTGTGGCAAAACCAGTGTTGACCAGTAGTGTTATTAAAAGTGAACTTGGCATCAAATGTAACAACTAGGTCTTCACAACTATTACTAATCTCATGTGATCATAAACATTTTGTTTCCTACAATATGTTTCTACTTTACATTTTGACACATTTTGTGTGAAGAGGTTTTCGAAACACCATGAACTGATAACGTATTTTGGAGAAAATGACAGTCTTCGGAAGTTACGATAGTATAGTAAATTTTTAAATCAACAGCGAAAAATGAATGATGACGTTTAGTCTCAAGCGAAAAATCATTAATAAAGACAATTCCTACAACACCTTTATACAGGGTGCTTCAGAATTAAGGGATCGAACTTTCTTTGATAGCCGCTGCTCATATAATAATAATAATAATAATAATCATCTTTATTCGTTGGTACCAAGGTACAGAGATATGGAAGTGATACTTGGAAAAGGCGAAGTTCAGCTTTCATTCCTATAGAGGAATGGCTGGTCTTCCACTTAACCTAATAAAACTTACTTAACTAACTTAAAAGCTTAAAAGTAAAGATATACGAGTAGTATATGTTACCGTAGTAATATTCAAACAATAGCCTTTTTGAAAGCATGAATAACTAATATATATAGAAGAAATGAAAAAATTAACAGAATACAAACAAAGACATAAAGAAATTAGGGAAAAGCGTACAATGTAAGGTAGGTATAATCATATATATGTAATATACTCGTAGGTATGTGCATAGAAACAAAAAACATTTAGATATTCGATGTTATTAATTATTGTAGCGTGATCTCAGAAAATGGAAGTAGCATTTTGAAAAATTATATAGCGATTTGGATTTCAAGTATTGAGGGACAGCGTTATATATTTTGGAAATGTTATAAGAAAAAGATCTTTCAAATAGAGCAGTATGATGAGCTGGTGGTGTGATCGTGGTTTTAGACCTTATATTTACATTGTGTGCATCTGGGCGAAGCGTTATTTTATTATATAAACTTGAAGGAGTTTTCATAGTTACAACCTTATGATAGAAGCATGCGCTAAGCAGCTCTCGTCTATCTTTCATATTTAGCCAGCTTCTTTCTACTAACTTATGTGAAATGCCTTCTCTACGTCGAATTCCATGGATGAGTCGTAAACACGAGTTTGGAACCTTTTGTATTCTTTTTGCATCATTTTGGTCTATAAACTTATTATACCGAACGTCACAGAAGTTAAAATGTGATAGCACAAGAAGATTTGTTAATAAAATTTTGGTATTCATATTCAACAAATCTCTATAGCCTTTATAGCCAGATACTTTTCAGGTTGCTGAAAGCCTTTACGATACAGTTTGTTATGCGATTTTTAAAACGCAGGTCCTCAGCAAGAAGTACACCTAAATTTTTTATTTCAGTTTGCCTATTTATTGTAACGCCATTGATATTAATATCACTGATCAATAGCCAAAAAATATCCTAAATAAAATCAACAAAATATTACTATTTTTAATGTGCTAAAACCGGAATGAAACTTATTTTTTCAATATTAGTTCAAGTTTTAGAGTTACGGTAATTATATGTGTTCCTGCTGTGACAGTGTTAATATACTGTAATTCACAAGAATGCACGTGCTACATTTTTATATTCGGCAAGGAAAGATGATGTAATCGGCATGATTGTGTTACGTTATACATACGTGTACATTATATTGTTTTATATTAGCCATTTTTTCCTAAGTGGGCTGACGGCGTTCATGCAAGATGTCTCGAAAGTGTGTAAACAATCCAGATCAGTTTTGTTACGTGTGTGGTGATGTGACTTTTGCGTCTCAGAGACGGTCTATTACTCCACTAATAACAAAGGCATATCAGCTTTATTTCGGTTGTAAACTAGGTGATCAAGACAAACAGTGGGTACCCCACATCTGCTGTAATACATGTGCTTCAAGTCTGAGGAGCTGGTTAAATAGCAAAAAACGGTCTATGCGCTTTGCTGTCCCAATGGTTTGGAGAGAGCCTACAAATCATATTAATGATTGTTACTTTTGCATGGTACCTTGTGTTGGACAAGCCACAGGTAAGTCCAAGAAAAAAAAGCGGTTATTAACTACCCAAACATACCATCTGCGATGAGACCTGTGCCTCACAGTGACGAAGATCCTATTCCAAAACCCCCAGAATCCTACACTTGCGAATCAGAAAACGAATCAGATCATGGCGATCGAGTGATTCGTCAGGAAGAAGATATGCCATCAACATCAAGAGATCCTGATTTTATACCGAGCACGTCATGCCACCAACCGCACAAAATAACACAGTCAGAATTAAATGATCTTGTAGGAGAACTTCCAAAATGTAAGGCAGAGTTACTTGGATCAAGACTGCAGCAGTGGAACTTGTTAGAAGACGATGTTTCGGTATGTGTTTTTCGTAAACGCCACAAAGACTTGGAACCATTTTTCAATATGGAGAATAACTTGGTTTTCTGCAGTAACATTAACGGCTTACTGGCGGCTTCAAATATAAACTATAACCCAGAAGAATGGATATTGTTTATAGACAGTTCAACATTGAGTTTAAAGGCAGTGTTATTGCATATTGGAAATATTTTACCATCTCTTCCTGTAGGGTATGCAGTTCACATAAGAATCATATGACAATATGAAGTACCGATTGACATGCATAAAATACGATGAGCACCAATGGCATATTTGTGGCGATTTGAAAGTTGTTGCACTTTTACTTGGGCTGCAGCTAGGCTACACAAGGTTTTGCTGTGTTTTGTGTGAATGGGACAGTCGGGCAAAGGCACTTCATTACACCAGACAAAACTGGCCTGTTCGTCAATTCCTAGAGCCAGGTCAAAAAAATTTACAGCATATGCCATTAGTAGATTCGAAAAAAAAATTATTACCACCACTGCATATCAAGTTGGGCCTAATGAAAAACTTTGTCAAGGCATTAGATAGAGATGGGTCAGCTTTTCAATACCTGCGTTAGAAATTTTTATTTCATTGTCATTTTTGGATTCAGCGCCCCAAAATTAACAAAGAAGTGCACTTTTCCCACAAGATACAATTAAAAAACTAAAATTTGTTGTCCAGTGTATTTATTCTGTTCGTAAGAAGATTCCTCATTTTTTTGGGACCAAAAATAATAAAATTTGAATTATCAGGGCTATATACAGGGTAATATACGCTGATAAATACCGGGTTTTGAGTATACGCATGTATAAAATGCTAGTGAAAAGCTCGTACAATGCATTAAGAAATGTTATCAGTCTTATTATTATTATGAACGTAGACAAGCACAGACAGTCTACAGGGTGTTTCAAAACTTAGAGATCAAGCTTCTAGGGGTTATTCAGTGTAACAGTAGAAAACATTTGAGTATATGGACCCATATCCGGAAGAGTGTCACTACGGCACTACGGCCCTAAGACGCGTTAAAATTTAGAAAGACGATGAATTGCCTAAATAGGATTTAATGCATTTAATTTTTGCCTTTTGTACATGATATCATCACAGCAATTGTTCAAAATCTCTTCCTCCAACCTGAACTTGACTAAAAATTTGATACTCGTTTTGAATGATTTCAAATGCTGCTGTAATTCGTCCAATTAAGTCTTGCTCTGTTTCTACTGGAGTTTCGTAAACCACAGGAAAAATCTAGCCACGTTAAATTCGGGTGACCTATGAGAACATGGAACTGCTCCGCCTCTGGCAATCCAACGGTGCCCAAACCGCTGAGCCAAACACTCACGTACTTTTACAGCAACGGGAGCCGGCACTCCATCATGCTGAAACCACATTTGCTGTCGAACGTTCAATGGAACATTTTGAAGAAGTTCTGTAAGAACTTACTCCAAGAAACGCCGGTAAATAGGTCCTGTTAACCGTTCCGGTAGAAGGTATGGCCCAGTCAAATAATCATCAACAATGCCTGCCCATACGTTGACAGACCAACGTTGCTGATGGTTTCTAGGAAAAATTGCATGGGGATTTTCTTTGTCCCAAACGTGGCTATTCCTACTATTAAAAAAACTGTTACACTGAATAACCCCTACAAGTTTGATCCCATAGTTCTGAAACACTCTGTATATCACAATATCATATAATAAACAAATATTGAACTTCCTAAAAGGATCCTATATTATACATGTTGCCTCTTTCCAGCCCTATGCGTATCACCATGGCTGTCAGAATCAGCCGCCCAAGCCAACTGTGATCGCCAGAACCGCCGTAGGCCCTCAACCCTGCTCCCTTTCCTGGTATTGTGGTCAGACGCACTGGCTCAGCTGTGCGCAGCTGCGACCGCTGCCAGGTCAGCTTCAGCCACTGTAGATTACGTCACTGGAGGCAGGTTCAGGAGGTATCTGTTTGGTCTGGAACAACATTCGCTCGGCGAACCATGGCCTGACGTCCTTGGTGTAGCTGTGGTGGTCTGTGTGGCTGTTATGTTCATGATGGGATTGGAGGTAGGTGCATCGATGTCGGTTAATGTAACATCTGAAACTTATAATGTGTCAATAATCCCCTTGCCAATGAAAGCCACAAGCATTTGAAATTATTTAATGTAAACGTTTCCGTAACAAAGGTGATGTGCTTCAGTACAATGACATCTATTTGGTTGCTCTGTCTTTCGGGTGACAGCTTGTTTATTTTATCTTTTCATTAACATATTCCTATGGAAGACAGATAAATCAAATATTCGTGATTAAAGCATTCAAGGAGAGTTTCAAATACTTGTGGTCTTTTATTGGCCAAAGAAGTTGTTGGGTACCCTCAAGGAACCACTTTGAGGCTACTCGCATACTTGGCCTATTTGGAAAAACAATTCGTTGTTTTTAATATAGCATATTGAATATACTCCACTATATTTAAGATCAAATTGATGATGAATTGATGATCAGCGCCTCCATTGCTCCATGTAAATAAAATCGCACAACGCCTCCCACCTCGTCTTTGGATGCGAACCTGCGCTCTTTCTTTTATTTATTTCTTTATTTATTTATTTATTTATTTATTTATTTATTTATTTATTTATTTATTTATTTATTTATTTATTGAAATCCACCACCAACAGTGTTAACCAATTACTGGTGGCAAAACAACAATAGAAATAGTAAAAAAAACATATAAAAATACAACGAAAACTAAAAACTAAATCATTTCACTGCAAACTCTCTTAATATTTGAAATACTTGTGTTGAACAAATCAAATGTACTCTGTAGACTATTGTAACATGAACACATCGAGTACAAAGGTGAGTGCAACAGTAAGTTAGTTCGTGGGGTAGGTAGGTAAAAAGTGAGTGTATTGCGAGTAACAAATTTTGGAGCATTAAATTTAATCTGTGCTAGAAATGATGGACAATCATAACTGCTATGCACTACTTTATGCAGGAATATTAGCGAGTGAATCTTTCTTTTATTATCAAGACTGATAAATTTGTGCTTACGTAACAGGTCTTCCTATGGGACCCCAATGGGTGGGTACGTACCGTCAATTTTGAATGAAAGAAATTTCAGAAATTTCCGCTGAATCTTCTCCAGAGAGCCACAAGTTGTAACATAGCATGGATTCCAGATTAGCCGTCCATATTCTAATTTAGACAGTATCAATGAATTATAAAGCATAATCATGGCATCTTTGTTACTTAATTCCTTTGAGTTACGTATTACAAATCCTAATAATCTGTTGATAGCATTAATAAGGTACTCAATATGAGGATTGAAGCTAAGTGACATGTCAAAAATCACACCCAGGTCCTTGCATTCTTGTACTCTCAGCAGAGAATGATTGCCAATTCTGTAGTCAAATGCAATAAAATCTAGCTTTCTGGTGTACGACATAACACTACATTTACTGTAGTTAATTGGAAGTCGATTTACAGCACACCATTTAACTATTTTGGCTAGGTCTTTTTGTAAGTGAGCACAGTCAGTGCTGCAGTCGACATTGGAAAAAAATTTCAGATCATCAGCATAGATTAAGTGGCTGCTGTCGATGTCGCTAACAATATCGTTTATGAACAGTATGAAAAGCAAAGGACCTAAGCAGGAGCCTTGAGGTACCCCTGAGGTTGGGAAGAATTCAATGGATTTGACACCCTCATATTCAACATATTGCTTTTTTCCTGATAGATATGACTTAAGAAAGGATAACAGCTTGGGGGAGAATCCAAAATAGCTCAGCTTCGTTAACAGAATACTGTGATCAAGTTTGTCAAATGCTTTACTAAAGTCTGTATAAATTACATCCACCTGGCTATTAGCATCTAATGCAGAGGAGACTGACTGAGTAAAACAGGCTAGGTTAGTTATGGTTGATCTACCCTTCATAAAGCCATGCTGAGAAGTACTTATTTGGGAATGTGTATTGTGGTATAGGAAATTATGAAGCAAAGTTTCTAAGGCCTGGGAAAAGATACATACTAGGGTTATCGGTCTATAATTTTCAACCTGTAGTCTATCACCCTTCTTGAAAATGGGAGGCACCTTTGATTCGCAAATTTCAGGAAACGTGTCAGTCTTTAAACATAGGTTGAAGATCTTTGTCAAGGGATGAGCTAAGACGTAGGCACAGTCACGCACTAAAAATGATGGGATTCCATCGGGTCCGGAGGTAAATTTATTTTTCATTTGCTTTAACACTGTTAAAACTTCTTCTTCGGAAAAGATCTGAAGTATTATGTTAGTATGCAAGTCCGAAATATTGATATCAGTTGCGTTCGAGGGCATAGTATATACAGATTGAAAAAATAGCGCAAAAGCATTAGCAATTTCATTGGGTTTGTCATACTGCTTACCATTATAGTTTACTTGGCTGATTGTGGAATTTTGTCCCCTTTTATTACAGATAAATGACCAGAAATTGTTCGGATCCTGAGATAGGCTACTTTGGATATCTACTAGATATTTTTGATATGCGTTACGCTCATCGCGCTTAATTTTGGTCCTTAAGTCTTTGAACTCAGTGTATGTGATCAAACTTTTATCCTTTTTAAACTTTTTGTGTAGCAAATTTTTTCTTTTAATGTCTCTAATAATTTCACCGTTAAACCAAACAGGAAATTTGAGAGATCTGAGACTTGTCCTAAGGACACACATATTAAAAATTTTACGAAGAATATTATAAAATGTTTCCAAAGCTACGTTTACATCTGTTAAATTGTCAAGAAACGTCCAATTAACCAAGCTTATTTGTTCATATAGTGCTACAAAATTGGCTTTACTGAAATTATATGATTCTCTGGCGCATTTGATACTCTTTTTAGAATGGAAGCTCATGTTGATTATCATGACAAGCCGAGGATGGTGAACATCCTCAGGTAGTAGGTCATCATAAGCCTTAACGACGCTACATTGTTTATTTGATATCACTAAATCTAATAGCCTATTATTTTCATTCCGAACATCATTGAATTGAGAAAGATCGAAGAATTACCCATAAATGACTGAATTGTTTTCTGCTTGTGAGAAGATTGGAGGTGATTTTCATTAACAAATTCGGGAACATTAAAGTCACCTAGTATATAAATACTTTTGCCAAAGAGGTAATCAAGCGATTCTAGATGTTCAAAGAATCTTTCATAGCAGGAAGTACTCGTGTCAGGCGGTATGTATATCACAAAGAAATAAGTCACTTCATTTTTATATCTAAGTTTGATTCCAATTATGTCAATACTGTGACTTCGCAAACGGATAAAAGCCAAAATCTCATGGCACCATATCAGGGTTATAAAATGGATGGTCAAACAATTGTATCTAAAACACATAAAACTGTTGAGCTAGGTACCAGTACTTTGTGGATGTGATGACACCACGAACGCAGTGGCGATTTAAGACATTTTTCAATGCTGCAAATAGTTGTAGACTCCAGCCTTTGGTGTCTCACTTAGCTGTGACTGTTTTATGTTAACCAAGCGCAATGTTTCCCACTAAACCTCATTTCCGAAAATAGAAAGACATGAAAATTATTTTCAAACCGATCGTGACTTCTTAATAATATTATGAAGCATACAAAATTCAACTCGTTTTCTGTGTACACAACAGTCTTTCATTTCTGTTTTCCTTTAACTCTTTTTGAGTCAAGTTTCTTGGATCACGGTAAGGTCTAGGTGAACAATTATTGTATTTCTTTTTTCGGTTGAATGGAAGAGCGAATCTTTCTATAGGTAGTAAGAGCCGAATTCTGCTGTTACTATTATATACTAAGTGACATATAAATTCGAACACCCAGTTTAAATGGTTTTATTTTAATAAAATTTTGTTTCAGTACTTAATGAAGCATAATAAGTAAATGATGAAAATTTCAAAATGATTGCACTGCTTTAAAGCCCTTTGACCTTTAATAATGTGTGGATGCACCCTGATGTGCTACGATTTCTCCAACGCGCCTAGGCATGCTTCTGATCAGGTGCTCAATGTCCTCCTGTGGTATCTCATTCCAGGCAACCACCATCTCCTCTCGAAGTGCTTCTAGAGTCTGAGGAGGACGTTGCAAATTGAGCAATCTCCTACCCATCACATCCCACACGTGCTCAATTGGGGATAAGTCGGGAGATCACCATAACTCCAACAGTGTGATGAACATGTCTTTCAACAAAAAACTGTGGATTCCTCCTTTCACCACGTCGCCTTCTAACCCTGGCACGACCATCGTGCATGCCTAAACAAAATCGAGACTCGTCACTAAAGACAATACTGTTCCATTCCTGATCCCAGAGTGACCGTTGTCTGCACCACTCAAGGCGATTACGTCGGTGTTCTCGAGTTAAAGGGAGGACCCAGTGTGGCCGGTATGAAAACAAGCCAAAACTTCTCATTCGTCGGTAAACACTTCGCATGCCAATAGGTCTGCCGTGTTCTGCAAACCATTCATTTGCAATGGACCTGGTAGTGGAGAAACGGTCCCTTAAGGCCAATAATCTTAGGCGGCAATCTTCACGGTCTGTTGTTCTACGGCGGCGTCCAATGCCCCTTGCTCTTTGCGTACGGCCTTCTCGAAGCCATGCCTGACAACACCTAACCACTTCTTTGCACTCTAACTGCAATTGCCCGAAAAGAAAGTCCAGCTTCCCGAAGTCCCACTATACGGCCCCTATCAAACTCACTAAGTTGACGAAATCGTACAGGTCTCCGTACTCTAGGCATCGTAACCGATCGTAAAGGATGTCAAGAACCAAAATCCGCCAACGTTGATTCTTTACTGCGGCTGAAATATTCACTTTTAGAGCGTTAGTGAATTAAAAAAAAGCAGTATAAAAACCGGAATGTCCAACTGATAAGGCTGAAAATTTTTTCACTTGTTATTTACAGTAAGATAAATACATTCACCAACTTTTATTAAAATAAAACCATTTAAACTGGGTGTTCGGATTTATATGTCACTTAGTATATTATTCCATTTAAAAATTTTTCTAAAAATTGTTTCTGCAGCTTGGCCCATTTTGACTACCTAACTTTATAGTCAGCAAGTGAAGAATGCTCCAACTGCATCAAAATTCTATAACGAAATACTGATACTGACCATTATCGTAAACTATGGCTGAAAGTATGAATATTGATTAATTTGTTTTAGAAATCACCAACAATATCCGCACTGCTACTCGTAGCGCTCCTGGGTAACTTTGCGTTCTTTGCTACTATTGGAAGTTTCCATACTGTGATAAAATTTTGGAAATGGTGCGAGAGACTGAAGTGCTTTCCTACCATAGGGTATGTGTACGAAAATATCAAAAAAAAATCGTATTAATAATTGTATTTATTTTAGGTCATAGCAGCAGCCACCAGTTGTACGTTTGCTTTCGTGCATTACATCCCGATAACGCAGAAAAACAACTGCTTAAAATTTAGTACCATGGTCCTCAATCCGTTGATCTTCTATACCGTGACTACAGTTGTCTTTTCAATGATGACTCGGTATAGGTAAACTTCTAGAAGTAGATTGGTTGCTTCTATTTTGATCACGCAGATACGTCACATAGCCTGTAGAACATACATAATTATACAGGGTGTTTTCAAAGTTGAGTCATTTGTAGAAATCGTCAAAAGATGTTGATGTACCAAAAATCGCCTATATAAAAGTTGCATAATAAAAGAGTTAATATATTATTACATTATTACATAAAAAATCATTATCAAGTTAAATGGACACCTTTTATATACCTTTTATAAACTGTTCCAAATTGTCCACATTTGTTCGATCAATGCAAAATCTTGCTCAGCGAATCCACAACTCTTTGCAATTTCCGAAAATAAAACCATAGTGTCCATAAATTAAATCACAAGCATTTTCAGTTCACATTTGAAGTTCTTCTAGAGTATTTACTGCTCCATCATGATACACCAACTCTTTCAAATAGCCCCACAGAAAAAAATCGCAGGGCGTTAAATCTGGAGAGCGAGCAGGCCAAGAAATGGGTCCATTGCGCTCTATCGATCTATTCGAAGACTCGTTATTTAGATGTTCACTAAAATGTGGTGAAAACCCATCATGTAGGAGCCGCATATTCTGTCTTACATTTAGAGAAACATCTTCTAATAATTTTGGCAGATTGTGTCAAAGAAGCTCTAAATGAATTTCACCGGTCAGTCGAGGTGGGAAAAAGTAGCCAGCCCAAGGATTTAATGAAAGTCTATCTTGGAAATGAGTTCTCAGTACAGTGTCGGGATTTCCTACTGCCCAAACATGATTGTTGTGGAAATTGTGCATTCCATTTCGAGTAAATGTGGCCTCGTCTGTACACAAAATTTATTTCGTAAAATACGTACCCGTTGACAATGATTAGGCTAGTACTATTCTTGTCGTATTGTCCTCCACACTTTACTATCAGAAACTTCAAATTGAGCTGCTATGTCTCTAGTGCACATTGGATCGTCTTCGACAATTTCTAGAATGTCTTCCTTAATGTGTAACATTTCATGTTGAGCAGATCTTCCATCGTGACCTTCTCATTGTTCTTTTAAATATCTTGTGTCAAGAAGCCTAATAACTAAATTTACAAACATCCGTGGGGCCGGATGATTTCTTAACGGAAACCTTCCGCATCCAACCTGCATGCTGCGGCCGCATTTTGTTGGCGCTCCCCGTATGTTAGTATTAGAAGCTCATTGTTTTCGTAAACGTGGGCCATTTCTTACACAAAATAATCAGACAAATGAAACCATACGCACTATTAAAAGACTGATACAACGATAAACAATAAGAATAATAAACAAAAGACGCTAAGACTTTATACGGTCGAGAATATAAAAAAAGTTGTGTAATGACACTCTTGCTTTTTTAAAATTTTAATCGTTTACTGTTTGTTTACTTGTGCAACTTTTAAATCACTTAAAATAAATGACTCAACTTTGAAAATACCCTGTATATCTGGACAGCATGGCTTGCAGAACGACTGCCCCAAGAAACAGCTGTACAGTGCTTTTCAAGCAACGCGCCCCCTCCCCTACTAATGTTTAGTTTCCAAAGTATCAGTTGCAAGTTTCAAAATGGCGATTTCTTCTAAGTGGAATGGGGTAAAGTGACGGGCCGACAGGCTGTCAAAGTTGAGCGCATTCATACATTGAATCGCTTATAACTCAGCAAGAAATTATCGAAACGCTAGATTACGTTACATCAATCTCTCTTGGAAGGATCTACCGGAATACGTAATAAAATAACGCCAATAAAAAAATAAATAAATCCTCATCTTCTTCAATTTTCTATACGGAATATCTCACAGTTTCTTGCACATTCTAGTCAATCTTTCCAAAAAGGAATTGATATAACATACTATACCGTTCAGATGCTTAATTAGTAAGTTATATGTGATTCAATGTACTCAAACACACAACTTTCATAGCCCGCTAGTATTAAAAGTGTCGATAAGGAGCTTCAGAATATAACCCCCCAGTATATTTAAAAATACTCTTGAAATTTTCAGCTTCCTCTTTTTATTGAAATATAGTATTCTTCCATCACTGAATTTCAGCATGCTTTCTTGACCCGTTTAAGAAACAAAGTGGGGAGAACCTGTCTGAGTAGCCTCACGATCTTGCCTAGAACTTGCTATACCTACACTGAAGAGTGAAGTGTGTATAGACACATACAGGGTGCAAAGTTGAGGTTTTCCTTTACACGACGTGTAGATCTTGAAAACATAAGCAATTTATCTTAGTACCATATACACCAATGTTTTAAGGGAACCGAGATAAAGGGCTCTGCAACATCAAAAATATCTGAATATCGTCCTGTAGCCGCGACCCGCGACATCCCCGAGTGGTACTAGGACACTAGCTCAACCCGACGACAGAACTGGGTCGGGGTCAGTATGTCAGGTCAGTATGCAACCTTCAACCGACGGTTACGGTCACGCGTGTAGAGGTAAACGAACCCGTATAATCGATTGCGTTTCAAAAAAAAATAATAATGGCACACTCATACACCAATAATGAACTTGCTGATATGTTGTTAATTTATGGTGAATGTCTTCAAAATGCTACAGAGGCGTCGCGAGTGTATGCAGATCGTTTACCTAGACGACATCATCCAAGGCCCCGTAGATTTATGTACCTGGTCCAGAGAGTCAGGGATACGGGCCATTTGGAGGAATTTCGAGGTGGGCACAGTGGGAGGCCTAGACAACCACGAATGGTGCAAGTTGAGGAAGAACTACTGAATCGCGTAGACGAGAATCCCTCAACAAGCACTAGAGACGTGGCTAGAGAAGTGCAAGTATCAAAACTAAAGTGTGGCAAACGCTGCGTGAAGAGGGGCTGTATCCGTTTCACGTCCAACGTGTACAAGCCCTTCAACCTGATGATTTTCCACTAAGAGTGCGGTTTTGTGAGTGGTTGTTGCATCAACATGACAATAATCCGGACTTTTTGAAGTGCATATTGGTGACAGACGAATCTACGTTCACGCGTAATGGGGTGAACAACTTTCGCAACACTCATGTTTGGTCATTTTCGGTGAATGCTTGGGCTGGCATGGTGAACGGTATGCTCCTTGGACCATTTATTCTCCCAAATCGATTGGACGGGATGCAATACCTAGACTTTTTATGCAACATTTTGCCTTCCTTGTTAGAAGATGTGCCATTAAGTGTAAGACAATCAATGTGGTTTCTGCACGATGGTGCACCGCCCCATTTTAGACGCGAAGTGCGTGAGTTTTTGAATGAATTATTTCCGAATAGGTGGATCGGATGTAATGGACCCGTAGCGTGGCCTCCGCGATCTCCAGACTTAACACCATGTGATTTTTTTCTTTGGGGTGAAATGAAACGCTTAGTGTTCAAAACTGAAGTGCATACGGTTGACGAACTTCGTCTCAGAATTGAACAAGCTGGTGCTTTCATTCGGGGGAGGGACTCCATTCTCAAAGCCTGCACCGATGCTTGGCTACGTCGTGCACGCACCTGTGTTTTTGAATCAAACGGCGATAACTTCGAACAATACCTAAGTACGTTTACCTAAAAACTGAAACCTGGCAACGCCGCCTTATTTTTTACCCTCTGTTCGTGGTCTGCACCACCGCCGGCGTCTGCTCGGTAGCGCATCAGCTGATTTCATTTCTGTTGGAGCGGTATGATTTCGGGCAGAGACGTGCTTAGCCCTTCTCGTCAACTGGAGAGTGGTACTTTTTCCTTTCTTGTTTTTACTTGGTCGCCCTCGTTCACTACACATTACCTTTGTTATTTCAAGGGTAGTTGTTTCTGAAAAGGAAAACCCCAACTTTGCGGACACCCTGTATATTGGAAAGAGATAGAAGCCGGCGGGATAGCGAAGGTCATCTCCGCGTTGTCTAGCAACGCTGACCAGTGAATGTGCCGCGTTGCCGATATGTCAAACCAATTTCTTGAATTAAGATGCGTGTAGAAAATATGCATTAGTTTATTATCAACGCCAAAACAGTGGCTTAATTTTTGAATTGTGAATTGTGTGGGTTCTGCTTAGGATCGGTACCGAATCAGTCCTAACTTCGCATGTCTTGAGTCGACATGAAAGGTCAGGACGCCCACGAATTCTGTAACAACGCATCATTGGTTGGCTTGGCAACATGGCAGCTTGTACATTCCAAGGCAAGGTTTCCACCTCCATGATCATAGATAAACGATTTTAATTAATACCCATCAAGCGGTCACTGGGGAGTGTCGTCCTGCTCCGCAATGGTTTTCACCTGCGTAGACGCGGTCAGTGATAATTTATATTCCGTAATAGTATTTGTTACAGTTTTATACTGCTCACTGTCGCAAAGTTTAACAAAACTCTGTGTTGATTTCATCACCATTAATGGAAATCAAAGCTAATTCTAAAATAAATTAAAGCACTAAGTCGCATCAAAATTGAAATGATTAATTCTAATCAAAATGAAAACAAAATATTGATCCAAATATTCGAATTCCTTCTTAGATTGACAGTAGCCTAGTCTCTTGTAGATGCCTATGTGAACATTTTCTGGTGTAACATATTGACAACGCGACCGATTGCACGACCTTCCGCGTCACCTACGCTAGACCAATGTGGTGATAACCTCACCACTTCAGCCGGCTGCTATCTCTTTCTAGCATCTGTCGATACACACTTATCTCTTGTACACATTGATCTCAAGCCGTCAGACAAATTTTGTTTTCTCTATAAAAGGATAGATTTTTAATACGTTAATAGTATCCAAAGTTTTTTGTCTGATGGGTGATCGGTCATAGAAACTTCATAATAGATTGTAGGTGAATGGTATAGCTTTTAAGACGTATGAGGAACAACTACTGACATTTTCCAGTTTTTATTTATTCGAAGTTAACTTGAATGACTCGGCCTCAGTAGTTTAAGCAGAATTTAGATCCGACCAAGACTAGGTTTTAGGAAGTTTTGTCTGTAAATCACATCATGAATTGTATTGACTCTCCAACTTTCCATAATGCATTAACTTTTAATCCAATATCTGCAGGGTGTTCCTTAATGATATTCGAATGTTTAAGGATGTGGACTTACATGAAGAATTAATGTTAGTTTGCTTTATAAACTATGGTCCAAAAATGTTTCCTTAAAGAAACTCGGGGTGTTGAAGTTTAAGGAAAAAATGGAAATTGATTAATATTTTCAGAACCGCTGCAGCTATTTCACTGATATTTAGTACGTAGTGAAAGTTAATAAAGTTGCGTATTTTCCAATGCAAAAATAATTTTTAGCTTTAACAGTAGCATGCGTACGGGAATTGACTTCGATATTTTTTAAGAAAAAATGGTACGCCAATAGCACTGATCAACAGCCAAAAAATATCCTAAATAAAATCAACAAAATATTACTATTTTTAATGTGCTAAAACCGGAATGAAACTTATTTTTCAATATTAGTCCAAGTTTTAGAGATACGGTAATTATATGTGTTCCTGCTGTGACAGTGTTAATATACTGTAATTCACAAGAATGCATGTGCTACATTTTTATATTCGGCAAGTAAAGATGATGTAATCGGCATGATTGTGTTACGTTATACATACGGGTACATTATATTGTTTTATATTAGCCGTTTTTCCTCAGTTGGCTAACAGCGTTCATGCAAGATGTCTCGAAAGTGTGTAAACAATCCATATCAGTTTTGTTACGTGTGTGGTAATGTGACTTTTGCGTCTCAGAGACGGTCTATTACTCCACTAATAACAAAGGCATATCAGCTTTATTTCGGTTGTAAACTAGGTGATCAAGACAAACAGTGAGCACCCCACATCTGCTGTAATACATGTGCTTCAAGTCTGAGGAGCTGGTTAAATGGCAAAAAAGATAGAGATATAGAGAATTAGATAGAGATGGGTCAGCTTTTCAATAGCTGCGTCAGAAATTTTTATTTCATTGTCATTTTGGATTCAGCGCCCCAATATTAACAAAGAAGTGCACTTTTCCCACAAGATACAATTAAAAAACTAAAGTTTGTTGTCCAGTGTAGTTTTTTGTCAAATAAAAAATTATTTTTGAATTCGCCGTTCAATTTGAAAGAAATGATATTGAATTGTTTTCCTTTGATGCGCCATTTTTCAGTAAAAAATAAAAACCGTTCTATTGTCCGAGAAAATTAATGTAATAATTGAAGAATGCAATTTAGCACACTAAATATCTAGTTGCTCTGAATATGTCACTGGCTTTTGACATCTGACAAGTCCTCTGTTATTGAAATCTGTTCGCTATGACATCTTTTTTGTTATTTAGTTCTTAGAATCTTGTTAATAATAAATGCATTACGTACATGGCATTGCCGACGGTAATGGTGAGCAAGCCAGACGGATTTATCACCAGAGACATCGCGATCGTGCTTTGCCAGATAGTCGAACCATTTCTAAAATGCATCGTCGCCTTGCTGAAACTGGTTCTGTCCGAAAAGGAACATCTGAAGGTAGACCTCCAAGTGTGAGAACACCTGAAATTGAGGAAGCAATGCTGCACGAAGTCGAAGAACATCCTGAAACGAGTACGAGGAAGATCGCTAGACACCTATAAATTTTCAACAATTTTGTATCATTTCATTGGTTTTGATGTTATGTTTATGCTGTCAGTTGTTGTTGTTCATTACCCCTAATGTGTTTACTTTTTCCAATGAAATTAATACTAATTTTGCCAGTTAGACAATAGAACGGTTTTTATTTTTCACTCAAAAATGGCGCATCAAAGGAAAACAATTTGAGGGATCATTTGTTTTGAAATAAACGGGAAATTCAAAACTATTTTTTTTTGCAAAAAACCATTGGCGTACCATTTTTTCCTAAAAAAATATCGAAGCCAATACCCGTAGGCACGCCACTGTTGAAGTTAAAAATTATTTTTGCATTGACAAATACGCAACTTCATTAACTTCCACTATGTGCTAAATATCAGTGAAATATCTGAAGCGGATCTGAAAATGTTAATTAATTTCCATGATTTTTCCTAAAACTTCAACACCCCGAGTTTTTGTAAAGAAACATTTTTGGACCATAGTGTATAAAGCAAACTAACATTAATTTTTCATGTAGATTCACATCCTTAAATATTCGCATATCATTAAGGAACAGCCTGTATATTCTTTATTCGATATATTTTAGAGAGCTCGTGGGCACAGCAATTCCTCTGATCCAAGTTTCGAGAGCAGAGATGTCGGACTGGGCCAGACCTATAATAGCTGCCTTCACAATCACAGTAGTATGTCTTGCTCTGACCGAGGTACTACCAGTTATATACAGTACATTTGTCAGACTGGCTAGTAAAGAATGGAGGGTATTCGTACCATCTATGCAATATCAGAGTTCGATTACTGGAGCTCCCATTTTGGCAATTTTTGCTGCAGGTACATATAACTATTAGGAATTGTATACTACACAGTGCGTTTCAGTAAAATATAGCAGGAAAAATAACACGACAAATTCATATACAGATGGGTCCTGAAATGCCCCCAGGGTGTTTCAAATTCGGAATCGAAATATACTAAGTGACATATAAATCCGAACACCCAGTTTAAATGGTTTTATTTTAATAAAATTTTGTATAAGCACTTAATGAAGCATAATAAGTGAATGATAAAAATTTCAAAATGATTGCACTGCTTTAAAGCCCTTTGACCTTTAATAATGTGTGGATGCACCCTGATGTGCTACGCATTCTCCAACGCGCCTAGGCATGCTTCTGATCAGGTGGTTAATGTCCTCCTGTGGTATCTCATTCCAGGCAACCACCAACTCCTCTCGAAGTGCTTCTAGAGTCTGAGGAGGACGTTGCAAATTGAGCAATCTCCTACCCATCATATCCCACACGTGCTCAATTGGGGATAAGTCGGGAGATCTTGGTGGCCATGGTAACAATGTGACATCATTATGTTGAAAGAAGTCTATTCTGACTCTTGCAACATGTGTTCGGGTATTATCTTGTTGGATCTGCCAGGGTGTCAAGATAGGGTGAAAGATGGGGTTCTAGAACTTCGTGGATATAACGCTGCGCGTTCGTGTTACCTCTGATGAAGATTAAAGGTGACTTGGAACCATAAGCTATAGCACCCCAAACCATAACTCCAACAGTGTGATGAACATGTCTTTCAACAAAAACTGTGG